TTTTGGGCAGACCATACGCGTTTGGGGGTCCAGCATCCCGCTGGAGAAGCGCGTTCATTTTCCACTTTTTCAAATGATAATTATTTTTATGAATAAACATTTCAGCCCCTTATTCTTTTGTTCATTAATTATATCAGCAAAACTTATCCTCCTAGCATTAACTGACTTCATGTGCACTTTGCTACATTATAATAGTCTCCATAACAATACTATTTCAAGATATTTATCGAAGCCCAGCTACTGAAATATATGATGATATTATATGTATATGTATAATTACTAATTAGTTAAATACTATTACAAGTCATCTGTTGAAGCAACAGTTAGCGAGCTTATAAAAAATTCTGACACAAAGTGATAGAATCCCACCGAAGAATGAGATATAAGAAAATGCCTGGCCATCTTTGAAATTCACATCTACCCTCTGATTTACAGAAAATAAATTATGTGGGATGCAATTCATTCGACAATGCCACCAAAAATGATATGGGAAAATGCCTGGCTCACCTTGACATTCACATTTGCCTTATGACTGAAGGGCATTCCTGGCAATATGGCGTAGTGGCTAACGTATTAATATTACACTATAATGTCACGCTTCGACTCCTGATGAGGGTACTGATAAGACCTAGATGAGTCCGAAGCTGAAGTCTACCCTGTATGAGAACACCTTTTAGGAAAGAAATGCTGTGTGAATTTCAATGGAAACCTCAGCTCTACTCATATCATTTGGGGAAAATTCAACTACCAGAAATAGGATGTATATATCTCATATAATTGATTTACTGGTAGTCTCGAAACCCTTTGAAAAGAATCAAACCCTGCCCAATTCTGCCTGTCTAAACATTCCAAATTGGTATGATTCTTAAAGAGAATGGGAGTGGTTTTGACTGCTTTTGCAATTAAGTCCTGTTTTAAGAGGATTTCAACGACTTTACCCCATACTGAGCTCTCCTTCATTATTACTTTCTGTTCATTTTTCGCATTTAAGTATTGTTTCGAGATTACCAGTAAATCAGTAATTTGAGATGTATTCACCCAATTTCGCCTAAGGTCATGAAGGGCTGGTAGTAGAATTTTCCCACAATGATATGAGTTGAGCTTGACGTTTCCATTGATTTCACATAGCCTTGCTTTCCCAAAAGTTGTTCTCATCCAGGCTGAAGTGGACTGCAGTTTCGACCTCGCATCGGTCTTATCAACACCCACAGCGGGAGTCGAATCGTGACAGTTCAGAATGGGAGCTGGGGGTGTTGATAGGATCGATGCAAGTTCGAAGCTGTAGTCCACTTCAGCCTGGATGTGAACAACTTTTGGCAAAGCAAGGCTCTGTGAAATTCAATGGAAACGTTGGCTCTACTCATCTCATTGTGGGAAAATTCTGCTACCAGTCCTTCATCACCTTAAAGGAAATTGGACGAATACATCTCATATTATTTTTTGTTCTCCCAGCAGTGGACCTTTGCGTGACTACATTTTCAGGCGTTGCTACTGTCCTGATTTGGCCTTTAAACTGAGCAGACCCAGCTCCAAGCAACACCCCATCAAATTGACAAATCACTCAGCCTTAAAGATGGCAGTATTCACTGACAATTTCGACTATAACGCCGGCGAAACTTCTGGATATGTACTAAGTCACTTATTCAGTAACCGGTCGCAGACCTAAGCGAGGTCGAAGCTGCATTCCACCTCAGCCCGGATGAGAACACCTTTTGGGAAGAAGCAAGGCTATGTGAAAATCAAATGGAAATATGAGACATATTAATTAAACTCTCGGTCCTTTGTCAATTCAGACGAAATAGGGTTAACAATCTTTTTATCCATGATTTATCAAGTCGTCATTAAAAAAATAATACATTTGAAAGCTACTGATATCAAATATAAACGAAGTCATCCATTCAAGTTGTAAATACATATTATCCTTTCAACTAGGCTTTTGGGACAGCCAGTAGACCTTTACTAATGGATTTAGTTAAATTATATGTCCTAGGGTGATGAAGTACTGGTAATGATTTCATCCACATTGAGCTAAGTGGGTCGCACTATGCCAATGAATTTCACATAGACTTTCTTCCCAAGAGGTGGTTTTATTCAAGCTTGGCTGTACTGCAGCTTTGACTTCGCTTAGGTCTCATAAACCCCCCCAAAAAGAATTAAAAATAAAATTTTGACATGATCCCACTTCGGCATATCGCCACCGGTGCCTGTCGGACGCAGAATGTAAGAGAATTTCCGAGTAAGCAAAACATTTTCCATATGACAGGTGCAAGTTGCAAGTCGTTTTGAATAGTATCTCGGGGCAATCTGTAGATCGTAAATAAGAGCGTTAGTTACTCTAAGTGACCTAGAGTGACTACAGCTCAAAGAAAAGTTGGGCAGAAAGGAATCTCTTGATTTACAATTTACAATAGTTTTAATTGAAATTGTGCGAGGAAAAGGTTCAAAGGTCGATCCCACCGAAAGATGATGACGAATTCCTCTTGATCAGATTTCAATTGAAGTTACTGGAACCTTCGTGTTGAGGCTGTCCCCGAGGCCATTCGGTGAAAACGTGCAAAGTTTTTTAGTCACATGACAGACATCATCAGAGCATGGCAGCATTATTAAGACCATTTTTAAGCAGAAGAGTTATGAAATCTCACTCACTTATCCCTTGGTGCATATACAAGGCGTTCAAGGATAAGCCGGTGAGCTTGAAAATCATTGCAATAATGCGTCCCTGCTCTGATGAAGCTTGTCATATGAGGGCTACTTATATGATTGTGGGAAAATTCAACTATCAGTCCCCTTAGCACCTTAAACGAAATAGGATGATTACACTTCATATATAAGCTGATGAGTAAAATTTTCTCCTTAGCTTGAATATTGTTTTTTTCGGACTGGTACCCTGTTCTAGTGATGTCCGTCATGTGACGGATGAAAGTTTAGTCATTTCTCACCGGAATCAAAGGCAATTGCTTCGGGGACAGCCTCGACATGAATGTTCTAGTAAAGCCAACCTATAGTTGACAAAGAGGAATTAGGCCGGATCGACTTTTGAGTCTCTTCAAACTATACACACTTTCACTCCAAATAGAAGTGAGCCCAACGACCAGCTGAAATGCATGTTTACATTAGGGATAATCCGACCAAAATATGATTCGTGAGGGGCCTCGATTGCCTTTAGACTCACGCTTGCCTCATATTAACGGAAATCGTTAGTTGTGTTTCGGACTGGTTACGAGTTGCCACGATGCGCACAATTCTGCCGCGAATACTTACGAGAGGGTTCCATTCTCGGTATGTACATCCTCTAAGGCGAATAAGTGCTTATTCACGCATTACCGATAGTTTGGAATCCAATCACAGCCCAAAAAAGTTAAATTCTTTCCTGATTAGTTGTCCAATTTACAGGCAATAAGGATGTGTAAAAAGATGCAGCTTCTAGCTGAAATTGAAGGAATGCAGCCTTTATGAAGGAAGTAAGCATGAAAAGGAGCATAAAACTCACTATGTTTCATGTTGCCGGCATCTCGATCTATTCGTTGCATGTATTCTTGCTGTTTTGTAGGCTTTTTTCTCTCCTGTCGCTTTATTTTTCTACTCCCTTTCTCCACGCCCTTTTTCTCTAATCGCCCGGTCTCCCTGTATCCAGCTTCATTTATGACCACCCTATTCAGACACTTCACCTCTTCTCTTTCACCTTTCTCGTTGTTGTTTTCATTGTAGTCATCATCACCATCATCATCATCGTCGTCATCGTCATCCTCCTCCTCCTCTTCTTCGTCATCTTCATCTTCTTCTTCCTCCTCCTCCTCCTCCTCCTCATCGTCATCATCATCATCATCATCATCATCCTCGGCGGCGGTGGCATCATGAACAATCTCATTTTTCATGCCCTCCTCAACTCTTCGGCATTTCTGATCACTTTCTCTACGTTTCTCGTCGCCCGGCTGCAGGGTTCGCGATGTCGCATGGCCTTTTCGTCGTCCCCTCGAACGGCAAGCGGTGTTTCTGTCGAGCCGATGTAACCGCCGAACAGCGGTTAGCCGTGTCTCCGGCCAGCCCGAGGCTAGCTGATGCCGGAAGAGGTCTCCTGCGGCATCTGCCCCATCTCCGCACTCCTGAGCTCGAGGCTGCGTGAAGCCAGTCGTCTCCGAGGCCCAGGCTAGGCATGTCGTCGATGGGGTGGATCCACGCT